ACTCTCCTAGTTCTTGGACTCATGGGACGGGGACATCTCTCAGATGGTCTTGTCTTCAGCACCTACATCAGCACCCTTGACTATATTGCATCGTGAACTGGATTGTGGTCCACATGCAATGACTGGTCAGTGTGGAGGCATAAAGGACTGGCGGCTTTCCCAGAGGGGATAACTCTGAAGATATTCCAGCTCCAGGGCTCATTCACCTTTAGTTCCCCATCTCCTACTATGCTCACTCTCTAACACATGTTGATCTTCCAAAGAGTCCCCAATAACCCTCTCTTTCACAGAACTCCACACTTGATCTCAACCTTAAGGCTAAGAGGTCTCCACACAGCTCCAAAATCTCTTCCAGAGTCTGTTTCTCAGGTATTCTTGGGTCTGGATCTTCTTTTGTGGGGGTCTCTATTTTCAACTGAGACTTCAGTGACTCCCAGCCTCAACTATACAATGGCCTCCTCAACATCTTCACTTCGATCCTACATAGGAATGTCACCCTCAGTGTGTTGTGCCTAAAGCCGTTATGTTCATTCCCACACAGTCTGTCTCTCTCCCCCTCGTTTAACAGTGCTCACTTCCAACCATCTAATTGTGCTTTCTAGATACCTTGACACATCACCCTCATAGTCTATCACCTGGCTCTGTTGTGTGTGTTCTCATCTCTGTCACCACCGTCCTGGTCAGGGTTACACAGTCCACTCAAGGCTGCACCATGAAGCAACCTCTTTAGTGTCATCGCAGCCAGAGTGAAACCTCACTTATTTGCTTATTTTAGCCCAGTTTATCCACTTGTTTTATCAACAGATAGCTTGGGCTCATAGATCAAAGTCCAAAAAGTATTACAGGAATACAAATCTCTAGCCAATAGATAATGAGGGATGTTCATAAATTCTTAACTATTTGTCCAGAAATATATTTTTGTCTCTTCAGGCATCTAAGTACATTTTCTCTTTCTTTCTCTGATTTTTGTCTGTCCTCCACTCAACCTTCTCCCCTCTGTTTCTACTTTTTCAAGAAAGCCTTTGTTGGCCCTAAATTACTGATCTTGCCTCAGCTTCCCAAGTGCCTGGCATTATAAGTGTGTACCACCATGTTTGGCATCCTATCTGCTTTTTGCAAATGTACTAGCAGCATATGATACACAGGTCAATGTGAATTGATGATACTCAGAAAGCAAACATCTGGTCCCCTCCAGCTCTGGTTCAAAACTCTTTTAGACTTACAAGGACTCTTCTTTTAAATAAGCAGCTCTTTAATATGGACTGCTATGTGCCTCACATAGTCTTCAGCTCACATAATGACTTTTTTTTTTCCAGAAAGGATCTCATATAGCCCTAGTTGTCCAAACTTGCTATGTAGCTGAGGATGACCTTGAACTCCTGATCCTCCTGCATTCACCTAGAAGTGCTGGGTTTATAGACATGTGCCACCAAACCTAGTTTTATGGGGATGTTGAGGATTGAATCTAAGGATTTGTTTATGCTAGGCAAGCACTCTACCAACTGTGTAGGACTCCACAGAACAGCTAGACTTCAAATGATTGCTTTTGTGAAAAATTTTCATTACCCCCTCTCTCTTGTAAATCATTTGCTCAGCCTCATTTACTAAGACTGAATTACTTTATAAACACAATGGAGGACCACACTTAGGGCAGAATAGGGAGTGTGTTGCTACATACAGCTGGGAAGTGTTTTAGATTTGTGTTATGATATCTCAAAAAATAGAGTAATAAATGGAGAATAATCTTATTCCAGTTATCTTCATTTTTACTACCCAAGCATATAATATTCACCCACATAGTTATATCTCTAATTATTATGCAAACTTTTAGATATATAAATTTGATTTTTTTCCTTGACATTGATCCTTAAATTTATAAAAAAAATTCATTGGCCCATGAATCTGTTTCTTTCTATATAAAGATTGTGTGGCCTTAGCTGAGCAGTGGTGGTGCATGCCTTTAATACCAGCACTTGGGAGGCAGAGGCAGGTGGATCTCTGTGAGTTCCAGGCCATCCTGGTCTACAAAGCAAATTCCAGGACAGGCTTGAAAGCTACACGGAGAAAACCTGCCTTGAAAAACCAAAAAAAGAAAAAAAACAAGATTGTGTGGCCTTAGGGTTTAAAACATTATAAAGCTTGGGCCAGGCTCACTGCGTTTCTGCGTGTTTACAGCCTCTTCAGTCTACCATCCTTCCTCTTTGCATTGCTTCCGAGTACCCTGGTTGGCAAGAGTTCACTGTTGCCTGGAGACTTGTGGTTTCTCTGTGCTCTTGCCCTCCCTGGATTAGTGATGAAAATGCCAAACAAATGGGCTGTTTTTGCTTTATATTAAAGATGGCAAATCATTTCTCCTTATCCTTTAGAGTCTGCTTAAGAAGCAACACAAAGAAAGGTGTTTTTTTTTAAGTCTAAAAAAATCTCTATAAACTCCATATTGATTTTTGCATCAGGAGGTCAAATGATACATGATTTTTATATATGAAATACAGACTCTACATAATTTGAATGCAGGCATACACATATATGTAACAGGTATAAGGCACACACATAGAACACTGTACTTCCCATAAAGTGGCCTTTCTCTATTAGAAATACAGCTGGTGAGCAGAGAGGTTATACATATGAATCAAAAATGAAATTTGCTGGAACTCGAAAGCTACAGCTTATAGCTTAGGTCTGTCTTTAACTGGTATGTCATGCCAAGCAAACCTCTGGGTCTTGTTGGGCTATTGTTTTGCCACCTGTAACGAGGCAGAGTCAGCTCAGGTCAGTGATTCTCAGCCCTGACTTTATCACAGGCCCTTCTGAGAGACTCATTTGATTTTTAAAAATCCTCTGTAACACTGCTGCTGAGTAGCCAGTGAGTGATGCTCCAGGGTCTTTTCTAGGACTTAGAGTGTCTTGTCTGGGACGAGATGAGCTCTGCTTCAGTTACTGTAGACAGGACTGTTCCCTGTGTTAGATTTGTTGGTCATGTGATCTTGCAACAGCCCTCAGGTAACACACCAGCACTCCTGTATCTGCATGTGCCATCCACCTGTCTCCTTCCAGAGCTGCTTGGTTCCTGCACCTCTGTGGCTTCTTTTAGAGTTGAGGATGCTCATGTAGTGAAGGAAGCTCAACCACAGCTGTGGTGAGGACAAGACAGCTCCCAGTTTGTTTCCCACCATAGTTCTCAGCCAGTGGTCAATCAGTAACTGTAGCAAGCATGGCTTTGTTTCTTACCATCACCAATCTTTGCCAATCATCTTCTTCAAAATTTTGCATATTTTTGGACAAGGTCTTTCACTGTATTTCCCTGGTTGGCCTGGAACTTGTTATGTACATCAGGCTGGCCTAGAACTCACATAGATCCGCCCCCCTACCCCCTGAGTATTGGGATCAAAGGGCATATACCACCATTCACCTTAATCTTCTGACTACTGTATAGTTGTTAATCTCACTGACTCCTGAAATGACCAACAATTATCTATTTGTGGACATAGTAGGCCTTTTGCATAGATTCTAATTGCATTTAGACCCATGGAATGACCAGTTAATACTGAACAAATATTGTTAACACAGTAAGGTATTGAAAAAAGAAACCAGGAGTGGTGGTTTACACCTGAAACCTAATACCCAAGAAGCCAAGGCAGGAAGATCATTGTGAGATCGAAGCCAGCTGAAGCTACTGAATGATACCCTGTCAAAAATAAAATAGAATAAAAATGTAAAAGAACAATAAACTTCAAGGATTTAGACTTCTCCCATAAAGAAACCTTTTATTTTTATATGTCTTTCTTTTCTTCCACTCTGCTATCCATCAAGAACTGTCTCCCTTATTCCAATCTTGTCTCTTCAAACAACAAAAGATTGCTGTTGACATCAGGCTCCATGGTAAACTCTTTGATATCACACCTTAGGTTTCTTAAAGGAGACTGAAAGAGGAGGCCCCCAGAGTTCCATTACTATTGGCTGTTGACCAATAGCCATCAATACATTATCTCACCCAGTCTTCAGATGACCACATCATGTTTTCCCAAGGACTACATCAAGGGTTTGGGTGTTGCAACCTTCCCCAAAGTCACCAAGCTAGGAAATAGTGGTGTTAGAATCTAGACTATCTCAATCACCAAGCCAGGTGCCTATTGTTTTTAGAAGTATTGCTATGGCTGCCCTGATTTTCCATAGGGAGAAAGAGGGTACAAAGAGTTAAATAAGTTGCTTCAGATCACCCTCTTTAATGAAAGCCAGAGTAAAGCAGGAGCCTAGGCTTTCCTTATTTCAAAGCTTCATCTTCAAGCACCATAGCTGTGACCTCCCCACTTTCTCTGTCTGTCAGCCATGCCTGTCTCAAGTCCTTCCTGAAATCTGAGTGGATTTATTCTGCTCTGTTCAAAACCAGCCTGTGCCTATCTCCTGGGTCTTCAATAGTTTTAAAAGTTAATTTAAGGCACTCTACATTCTGTTCTGTGTTTTCTCTCCCTTCTCACAGTGACCAGAATCCCACACCTGCTGGAGCAGCCTGTCTCTCTTGCTATCTGCTAACCTGCCAGGCTTCTCCTGTCTCCAGGTAGCTCTCCTCCTCTTAGCTCTTCAGTCAGCTCCATGGCTAACACCTGTCTTGTTATGGAAAGGCCTGTTGGGAGGTCTTGGCATTTACTACCTAATGCAGTGGGATCCACCATTTCTGGACACAACAGGCTCACATCTGAAGGTCTCTAAGCAGGGTGCAGTGTGGAGTTCTATATAGCTCAAGTCATAATTGTGTGAATGTGAAAGGCAAAGGCTATACAAGAACAGCACTGAGCATATACTAGTTGCTTAATAAACTGGCATTGGATGAGTTGTTAATTTTTGATAAGCTTGATTTTCCCCTCAAATGATCTTATTTTGGGGGCCAGGAAAACAGAATTTCCACATGTTTGTTTAATAGGTATGCTTTGAAGTATGTGTTATTGTGGTTTATTATAGGGCTGGTGAAACTGACCTCCTCCTTGAAATTCTTTCTGTTCTAGTGAATGTCCCTTCCACAGTAATGGAAGCCATGTGTCGACAAGATGCCCTGCAGCCCTTCAACAAAAGCAGCAAGCTTTCTCCCTCTGGCCAGCAGCGCTCCGTGGTTTTCCCACAGACTCCCTGCAGCAGGAATTTCACCCTCTTAGATAAATCTGGACCCATCGAGGCAGGATTTAACCAAATCAACGTGAAGAATCAGCGGGTGCTGGCGAGCCCAACCTCCACCAGCCAGCTGCACTCAGAGTTCAGCGACTGGCACCTTTGGAAGTGCGGCCAGTGCTTTAAGACTTTCACACAGCGCATCCTCCTGCAGATGCACGTGTGCACGCAGAACCCCGACAGGTGAGGCATGGGGCTTGCCTTTCTGCAGCACCTAAGGGGAAAGCCACTGCTTAGAGGTGCCTGCCCTCAGGCTGGAATGAGGTCCCAGAGTTGGGTTAGGTCTCAGCTGGGCCTCCATCATTTGTGAAGGCTGCACAGACAGGTTGGTGTTTGCTAAGAGGCATCTGCGCTCGCTATCCAGTTACATCCAGGCTTAAAAGGGAGCAAAAGAGAAGGAACATTTATGAATATCAGAGGGTGGAGAATGAGGTCAGGATAATCAGAATCCCCTCTGTCTTCCAAAGATAATATAGCTGGCCGCCGGATGGCTGTCACAGCCATTTCAGAGTTCACCTCCAGTGTGCCGTGAGTATGAACTTAATTAAGTACTAAGAGGTAATGAATTGGAATTTTTTGCTTAGTACTATTTTTCTTCGGAGCATGCAAACCCATAAATCCTGCAAACCTGTCAAAAGGAAATACCCACTCGGCTAGTGATGTGGAGGAAAACAGACGCCACTTATTCAATAAACTAATATCCACACAGAAGAAAAATGTTGACTAGATACCTCAGAGTCAAAGTTGGTTTGAAAGTTTGTCAATACGGAATTTTATGGCCATGAACTGAGGATGAAATTTAGCTGAACAAGTGAATTAAAATTTCAGGTACTCTGACGAGTGGCCCAGTAGATATAATGGAACTATTATTTATGAATCAAAACTGGTTTATTTGACAGTCTTGATAGCTGGGAGTGCAAAAGACAAAGATCAAATTAATTCAATAAGAAGGCTGCCTGTGTTTTATCTCTCCCCGTCCTATGAGAACTTGATTAAAACCAAAATACCAAAGAATAGGCTAGAAAAAAATTCACCTTGAATATAAAAGTCAAAGATAATTTTGAGGGCTAGGATTGGGCATTTGGAGGCAGGGTTCCTGAACTGTTTTCTTAATTTTGCCACTCATTAACCTTAACAAAGCATTAACCTTAACAATGCACCTCTTTGCCTCATAATGCATGCATGCACTCAGCTCTCCCCTCTTGGTTCTGCAGCACACAGCAGCTTGCCTGGGAGATCCGAGTGAAGGACAGGTGGGTGGCAGTGTGGTAGAAGGGGTGGGTATTTTCTAATCTTAGTTTCAAGATATTTGTACAAATTTACAACTGTACACATTTTTTATTCCAGTCGTTCTAGAAACTGGTAGCTTAGCTTCAAGCATTACTGCAACTAATCAATATGGAAACATTTACTTTGGGGCTAAGTCGTCCATGTCTAGGTGCTCTGTAACACACTGTGCTGTGGAGGTGAAATATTAAAGTTGGAATGTAGTATTTTTCTCTCTCCCATGCAGCAAGGCTTTTCTTAAAAGTTCGCAGGCATATATTGAGTCCCAATATGTGTCTTTCTTAGCTTACATTTCAAGACCAAAGGTGCATTTAAAAGTCTTAGAAAAAGTGAGTTCCGGTGTATGGGTTTATTATTTGCAAAGAGCTATTGTGATCACAGTAACTAGTCATGCACAGTAAGATTAAAAATAGGTCAAAGTTTCTGGATCTTCAGGTGTGATGTGATTTCACACACAAAGACACAAAATCGATGAAGACATTTTATGGTAAATAGACACTAACAACAACCTGTTTTGTGTGACCCGAGTTATACCCAGCAAATCTTGTGTATGGTTTAAGTCTCTCTGAAGTTTGTCCTATAAAATACTAGCACTATGAAAACAGCTTACATGTACAAAATACCTCCAGGCGAGATTGTTAAGGTAAGTGATGACTGTAGGCAAATTTAGTGTGACTGGGGGATCCCCAGATGGTACGATACCCTTTTGGTGCTAGATCCTGATAGGTTCAGTGACTCAGCACCTAGAGTGGTGGGGGAAAGTCTTCTCAGATGAGGTGAAGTAATAGGTGTTAATGATCACAGTGATCATATTATTTAGAAAGTGGGTTCAGGATTCTTCCCTGTGCTTTGTTGGTGAAGACATGGGAGGTAGTTGACATCATTCATTAATAAGTTAAAGTTATGAATCATGACTTGAAGAAAGCCAAACTCTTTAAAGGCAGTGTAATCTGGTGGAATGTTTCTTAGTAACAACGGGGAGAGGGTTGAATTACGTCGTCAATCTGAGATAGTTTTTGAAGATGATGAAATAAAGAGAGACCACTAGTCATCTTATATATTAATTTCACTCTAGATGAATAATTTATTTTTATCCTATAGGACTTTGGAGACAGAGAGATACTTTCCAAAATTCCTAACCACACAAGGAAAAGCTAAATAGGAGAAATGTCCAGAACTCCATAAACATGATATGGATATCACATTTGTTCATGATGGTTGCTAAATTTGGAAACTTACTTGTTATGTGTGTGGAGGCACACCACTCTTAAATATGCATATATTCTTTGGTGACTACGTTCACAGCTTGGCATTTGTCTTTGGTGGTTTGTGTCCACTCATCCATAGCCACATGACCCTCCTGCCTGTGTAGAACCCCTACCAAAATCAAAATCAAGTTCCTTACACTAAGGTGTGGAATTTGCAGATGACCTATGCATATGCTCCTGTATACTTTAAATTATCTTTAAATCACTCATAATAATATCTCAAACAGTTGTAAATACCATGTAAACAGTTTTTTATTCTCTCTTGTTTAGGACTACTGTCAAGAAAAGTCTACACATAGTCCATGCAGGCACGTTACGTTTGGGGGGTAGTTTTCTGCTTCTAATTGGTTGAATCTGTTGATTAGAGACCCACATATAGGGAGAGCCAACTGAACATCTTTTGTCCTAGAAGTTTTTCATGCTATAAAAGAAAAATCAAAGGAGGATTAACAATTTAAAACCAAACCACACTTACTTTTGTTAAATGTTTCATCCTTTTCCTATGTTCACCAAACCAACTACAGTCTCAAAACAAATGAATTGCACATTTTACTGGCGTAATCTTTGGCAGAGGAGTCACCAGTGACAGGGAATGTCAGGAGATGAACCCGATGGTCTCACTGCTTTCTTTCTACTTAAAAAGCTACCAGTGTTGATTTATGCTAAGTAAATCTACCCACACGTTGTCCTTCTCAGTTATTTTGTAAATGTGTATGTAGCACTTCCTAGTTTCTCCCAGAGCTTGAGTTTTCCTGTGTTGTACTAGCCACATGAAGCTAGTTAATGGAAATTAAGCAAAATAATACTTGAATTTCTCAGTCACTGTTCAAATGTTCAGCAGCTCCTTGTAGCTAGCAGCTCTGTATCAGATCATGCAGTTTTAGACAATCTCCACTCTTGACCTCCCTGCTTTAGGTCCCACCCAGCCACCCAGCCCCACAGAGCTGTGCACTGTGAGATGCTATTCCTCTGGGTTTGCTTTGAAAATGATGGGAGGCTATACATGCATGGTGAGTTGGGAGGACCAAGTGCCTTTGAAATATGCTTCCCAAATGCAATGATGTAAGATCCTGGACCCTGTGGAGCACAACACCCACGGATGTCTATCCATATGTGCTCTTCTAGTACAATACATCAAACGGAGATGCAATTTAAGAGTTAAGATGGAGCCTATCCAAAAGTTTGATAACTTTAACATTGCCAGACTTTGGAAAATTAATGGAGGTACTGGGGCTTGGGTAGTAAAGTGCTTGCCAGGCAAGCATGAGGACCTGAATTCCGTCAAAGGCGCCCACATAAAAACCTGGGCATGGTGGCACACATGATTATCAAAGTGCTAGGGAGGCATAGACTGAAGCCTCATTTAATCAGTGAGTCTTGGGTATCAGTGGTGGACTGCCTCAAAGAATAAAAGATAGAAAGAAAAGGATAACACCTGTGACTGACCTCAGGCTACCACACATGTACACGAACATACACGCACATACATAACCCCTTCCAAAATTTTGGGGAAATGTTGGTACTGGCAACTTACTCTCTGTTCTGAAGTTCCTCTGGGGTAGCTTGAGATACGGCTTTTGAAATATGCACCCATATTCTAAACTCCTGGAGCCAGTTGTTCCAAAAGAAATTGTAATTTTTTTTCTGAGTTACTTTCAAGGACTCCCTAGAAATGATCTGTTTCTGTTTTTAATGTATTGCTATATCTGTATTTAAATCTTAACTACAATCAATTTTACAGTTACGTTTTGATCAGTTTCCTCCTTCTCCACGAGTATTGGGGATTGAACAAGGGCCCTATGACTGGCTGATATTCTCAGCCACTTTACTGTGTGTATGTTTTTTAAGACAGTGTCCCAGTAAGTTGACCAGGCTGGTCTTGAATTTGCTCTGTAGCACAGAAAGATCTTGAATTTACAATCCTCCTGTATCAGTCTGACAGGTGGCAGCATTTACAGTCCTGCAAAGGCAGGCCTGGTCTCTTTTACTCATTTTTTTAAAGGAAACTCTGAAAATAGAAGAACATAAAGTTTAAAAGACCATCATTTTTAACTATGTACCTTCTGTGGGCTTTGGGGTATCTTGGAACTCACCATGTAGAACAGATTGCCCTGGACCTCACAGAGATCTGCTTGCTTCTGTCTCTCAGGTCAAGGTGTGTGCTACCACTCTTGGCTTCTTTGGTATTGTTTGTTTTTATTTGAGACAATATCTCAACTTGTAGCCCAGGCACAACTTTTATACTTATGGCTTACACTTTCTCTACATTTCTAGATGATTAGAGACTGTTATGGTAACGAGAACTGACTGAAGAACAAATCCTCCTATTAATAGAATTAGGGTCGGCCAACAAGAATGTCAGTAAATGCTCTGAAATCACTGAACAATACCTAAAAATAAAAGGATATAATTTTGCTTTGTGAAATTTATTAAAGCAAGGTTTGTGCCTACATTTTGAGGCAAGGTTTTCTTGTTTTTCAAAATTCTCAAGCTTTTACCCAAGCTTTAAGATTGTCCATGTTTTAGAGTTTATATACACACAGAGAGAAGGGAGAGTGGCAAGGAGAAAGGACAGGACTCTTCCATGTGCTTCTGCAAGGTGGCATCATATTGGTGATGCTATGCCTCACAGCATATTTGGGGGATATTGGTCACTTTCTCTAAGGTAGGAGGAAAACATGATGGTGTATGAAAGAGTACCCAGGGGAATTTATTCCCTTTCCAAGTGAATGTGAAGAGAAAGGTCAGTGAAGTTGAGTGCCTTGCCAACATCCCATAGCTGACTAGAACAAAAGGCTGAAGTTGAATTCAACTTTCCTATTCCAGGCACTACTGTTTGGCCAAGCGGTGTTCCATGTAGTTTTTAAAAACTTAGTCATAGTGGCTGGGGAAATGGCTCAGTGGGTGAGAGCGCTTGCTCTTCCAGACTACCCCAAGTTTGGTTCCCAGAACCTATATTGGATAGCTCACAACTGACTGTAACTCCAGCTCCAGGGGATTTGATGGCAACAATAAATATTTCTTCATACTCATCTACACACACACACACACACACACACACACACACACACCACACCCGCACGCACGCACGCACGCACGCGCGCATGCACGCACGCACGCACGCACGCGCGCATGCACGCACGCACGCACGCACGCGCGCATGCACGCACGCACGCACGCACGCATCTTAAATGATAACTTTTAAAGAGAGTTCGCACAGGCCACTGGATCCCTAGCAAGTACTCTCTGACTGGTCCTGGGAAGAAATGATGCCCTAAGGTTTATCCCTTTTCCTTTGATGACAGAATTCAACATCAGCCCTTCACATGTGCTCTGCATATCTTTGCCACAATGACTACCAGCATAAAAAGGACAGGTTGACTTCTGACTGCAGGAAATAAATCACCCCAACTTTTGACAGAAGGGTTAGAAAAAAAAGGAAAAGATTAATTGGTTTTATTTAGTGGCTTATTGTTTATAGTGATAGCTATTAAAATAGATAACCAGAGGCTAATAAATGTTAATGGTCCCTTCACTATTAGAAAAATCAATTGTCAGTGAATATAGCATATATTAATATATTATTTTGTTTATGATTCTCAATAGCATGTAAAAAAATTTCATCCCCAGAGAACTATTTTTTGAGAACTCTTTTTAAGGTCAACATTTACTGCCAAGAATAGATTTGCTAGGAGGATATTTTCCTCTGTAGGCAATTCTAATGGTCTTCCAAGCATTATTTTATAATTATAATAAAATGCACGTGTAATTTGTCAAGCTTGATAAACTCCTTTCCAAGGGCTCTTATGTATTTCTTTGAAACCTGTTTGAGAGCAGTTAGATAGATTTCTAAATGTAAGTAATTAAAATTGTATAGTATTGAGTTATTGACCAATGCTGGACTATTAATCAAGCTAAAAAATTCTACAATCAGTGCTCAGTGTGCTGAAGCCTGGCAAAATAATAGTATTTGTGTTCAGTGAGGCAAGTAGCCGCAATTAAGCACTTCAGTTGACAAATGAGAGGGTACACTTTATTTTGCACTTAATTGAATTGTTGAACATGCTCCGTCACCATTGTCTCCCAGCCCTTCAGTTTGGTGTCTGGTCATTGGAGCTTCTGTACTTGTTAATGGCAGAGCAATTAAGTCTGCCTTTGCCATTGGCTTCCTAAATGCACCCTACAATGTCTGCTCTGCAAACCAGGGCTTACTTAGTAAGTGCAGTGAGGATCCTTCAAGGCAGATTATTAATTTCCTGAAAAAAATTTGATAAGCAAATTAGAGCCCTGTCAAGAGATGATTTGAAGTAGCTTTGAATAGGGACAAGTCCTCAGATTTCCTGTCACTCACTGCATTCTGCTTAAGTAGGCAGAAGAACTTTTGACAGAATTTTAATCTGGTTTATGAAATCCCAAAATTGATTTACTTCTCATGAGCTGGGAAGTGTGTGCTCTGATAATTTTGCTAGTTATCAGGTATTTGTCCCAACTTCCTCCCATTGACTTTTTCATCACAGTCACCTCCCTGGAAACCCAGTAGCAATTGTCATTTCTTCCTGCCATAAATCAGTCCTTGCAACTAGATCCAGCAGAGGAGGTAAGAATCAAGAACAAGACTCACGGGGCTGGAGAGATGGCTCAGTGGTTCAGAGCACTTGCTGCTCTTGCAAAAGACCTGGGTTTGGTTCTCAGAACCCACATGGCAGCTCACAATCATCTGCAATTCCAGCTCCAGGGGATCCACCCTCTTCTGGACTCCAGGAGTACCAGATGCACATGTGGTTACACACAGGCAGACACTCAACATACACATTTAAAAAAAAAAAAATGAACAAGACTCTGAATAAAGGGGATAGGTGAGAAGTCAGGATTTCTTTTTCAAAGAGACACATCTGGCAGGTCTGTGTTCATCTTTGGAACCCAAGACAGTTTAGTATTTATTAAAGCATGCAACTTGGCTACTTGCCCATTATTTCCCTGACACTTGGAATAAGGTTCAAACACCCTATGATGACCTTGGAATCAATGTCTTATATCCTTTAAGGACAGTGTGTCCTCAGTTGTCTGTGCCAAAGCTGTGATAATAGCAACTGCTTTTCCTGTCCCACTCAGAGGATTACTGTAAAGATTAAACTAGATAATTAATTTTAATGTACTTTGAAAAGTAAAGGCTACTATGGAATCATACAAAACAATTATGTATTTTCTTTTGTACTGTTTGGCTTAATTAATCCCATGCTTGTGTCTGTAAAGCTTTCAGAAATATGCCAGTATTTGCTGGTGGGGAGATCAAGACAAGCAAATAGCTGTTCTTTAAACAGTATGGTTAATATGTAGACGGAAGTTTCTGTCCCACCCGGTTCCGCCAGTTCCTAAAGACACCCCCGTCATTACTACTAGAAGGGAATGCTCATTTGTGTGTTGATGTGTCGCCTCAGCTCTATGAATTTTGTTCCTGAGGCAACAAGTGCTAGAACTCAGAGGCCAGTGCTCTAAACTCGATCTTTAAGAATTGTTGCATCTAAAGTCACAGCCCCTTTCCTCACAGTGGGGATCAAAAAAGGACACCATGACTAGTCATTCTCCATTTGTTTCAGACCCTACCAGTGTGGCCACTGCTCCCAGTCCTTTTCCCAGCCATCAGAATTGAGGAACCATGTAGTCACTCACTCCAGTGACCGACCTTTCAAGTGTGGCTACTGTGGTCGTGCATTTGCTGGGGCTACCACTCTCAACAACCACATCCGGACACACACTGGAGAAAAGCCCTTCAAGTAAGTAGTGGCCAGCTGTCCACTCTCTTTTTCTTATCTTTCTTTGGAGCTGGCAGATACATAGGCACACATTGCCTGGGTCAGCCCAGCTCAGCCCTGCTGGTGGAAAAGGCTACTTACAAGGTCAGTGTCTGTGCAGTAAGAGGCTCTTTTTGGTTTCATGGCTGACATTTGGAAAATGAAGTCAGGAAAGCTATGCACAGGTCTTGGCTCAAGGTTTGCAATCTCAGACATGAGATGATCTTCTAGGGCCTGTTTTCTCATTAGTAAAACGAGGTATGAGTAACTAACCTTAGTAGTCTTTCCAATTCCTGTAGATATGTACATCTTAATTCTATTTAGGAACCATGCTGAGATCTCATGGCTATCAGCAAGCTCCCATAACCAGGAGAAAGGTGGCCATAGTTTAGGATGCTTGAATAATCCTTCA